TAATGTTTACTAACATTCAATATGTGTAAGCTGGAAATCTCTCCCTGAATGCAACCACCAAGCAGGAGTTTTTGAACAATGCTACTTTAGACCTCAAGATATTGTGTTCTGGCAAGTTGTGGCTCTCCATATATTTTGACCTGCAAATTGCAACATCATTGGTCATGCAGTCTCATGGGAGCAGTAGGCCTAAGCATACCACTTGAACATAACATTTATCTAACCCTATATAATATTAAACATTCTTCCATGAAGCATGATTGCTGCTGAACATCAATAAGAAACAACTCAACCACAAACTGTAAATAACCAGGATGATTTACTATAGAGGATGTGATGTAGTTGCGTGGAATACTGTGTGATCAATTTTGATTTTTAACTTCTAATCCTATCTTCATATAATGTTTGCCATTTGTTATCCAGGGCTTCCCAAAATGAATGCGATTCTTGATGTTTTTAACAGCTGTCCTTGTTTTGTCTCTAGGAATGCTATCATAAGTGGATAAAATGGCTAACCAAACATCAATCTCTGAGTTTCTTCTCTTGGAGTTCTCAGAGGTTCGAGAACTGCAGGTCATACACTTCATCTTCTTCCTGGCATTGTACTTCGCAACACTAGCAGGGAATCTTCTCATCATTGCTGCCATAGCTTTTGACCACCACCTCCATATGTATTTCTTTCTGATGAACTTGGCCATGCAGGACATAGGTTCGATTTCAGCCATCATCCCCAAGTCCATGGTCAATTCTCTCATGAATATCAGACACATTTCCTATTTTGGCTGTGTGGCACAAGTCTTCGCTCTCATTTTCTTTGCAGGATCTGGTATTGCCCTCCTTACAGTGATGGCATATGATCGATATGTTGCCATTTGCAATCCACTACATTATGAAATTCTAATGAACAGGACAGCCTGCACTCAGTTGGTTGCTAGTGTGTGGATTGCTGGTCTTCTCAATGCAGTGCTGCACACTGGTGGAACTTTTGGAACCCCTTTCTGTTCCAATGTTGTAGGCCAGTTCTTTTGCAAAATCCCATAGTTACTGAAGCTTGCCTGCTCTGATTTATATCTAATTGAAACTGGGTCTATTGCTTTTAGTATTTTAGTTGGATTTAGCTGCTTTATCTTCATCATTTTTACTTATGTACAGATCTTCAGAGCTGTTCTGAAAATCCCCTCTGTTCAGGGAAGGAAAAAGGCCTTTTCAACTTGCCTACCTCACCTCATTGTCTTCAGCATATTTTTATTAATGGTATGCTTCGCTTATTTTATTAATGGTATGCTTGCAGCATCACAAACTGATTTAATAATTGCTGTAGTCTATTCCATTGTTCCACCCATCATGAATCCAGTAATCTACAGCATGAGGAGCAAGGAGATCAAGGTTGCCCTGTCAAGGCTTCTAGTACTGAAATGAGTTTCCATGAATATGTTCTCTGTGTCAAGAAGTTGGTATTATGCCTGATTGTTTTTCTATCATTAACAAAAGCAAAAAGAAGATATTATTGTAAATTTAGTAAAATCATATATGACCCCTTCAGGCAGTCATCTTTCATGTGACTATTAAAAGTTTTATTTAGTATTGAGGTTTGTGTTGCAGTGAGAACTCAACAAATAAGCCTGCTTATCTACTGAAATCAACGCATTTTAGAAGTGTAACCCTAAGCAGAACTTTCCTGGATTCAAAACTGCATATTTAGTTCTGTAGATATTTCCTTCAGTACACAGCAGGTTAAAAAAAGCAAAACACTGACAATAATTTATAAATAAGTATATATGTATGTGAATGAATACATGAATAAATTACAAAACAGAGCAAAGATTCAAGAAGTCAGAAAGAAGAATGGAATGAAAGAAGAAAGAAGAGAACAAGGCATGCCCATTCTGGGTGCAGAAGTCCCACTGTGCGAATGGACTTCTGAGTCTGCAAAGACCTTTTTATTTTCCTATTATTTTAATGCCTAATTGGTTTTAATCTGGGTTTTATCATATTGAGATGTTGGATGTTGTGCTTTGCTCTCATTACTTGCTTTATTTCATTGTATTTGATGTTTTTGTTGTAAGTCATCCCAAGATGTTGTTACAGTGTGCATGGGTTCCTGAAGGCCTAAGACCCAGAAGAAAATGAAGAATGAAAAAGCATGATGGGATTGACCAGACTGAGAAAACTGAGAGGCCAGGAGTGGTTGGAGAATGGAACATAAAAGATAAGAAAAGCCCATGCTGTACCATCTGGAGAGAGAATGGAACGTGACGAGAGTGCGTGCGTTCAAGATAAAGACCTTCCTCATGTCGGAGCAATACAACAGTGAAACCAGCTTCCTGGAGAGGTGGTGGGCTCTCCCACACTAGAGGCATTCAAAAACAGCCTGGAAAGCCATTTGAGTGGGATGGCGTAACTTGGTGTTCTGCCACAGAGGGGGTTGGGCTCGATGGCCTTCATGGCCCCTTCCAACTCTAGTATTCCATGATTCTAAAAGGGTTGGCTTGCCAGGGAAGCAGTCGGTGCTTGCACAATGGTCACAGGGGGGCTGCCAGTCTTCTCTTTCATCAGTTGCATCCATACAAGTGGCAGTTGCACTCACCATGGAAGAGTCCAGATATGGGGCTGGTTTCCTAGTGAGTACCTCACAAAAGAACTCAGACTATGGGCTACTGCAAAGCAGACAGGAGTTCAGGAAGCTGAGCCCAGGGAATCTGTTGGATTCCCATCCCCAAACAGATTCTTCATATAGCCCTAGTTCAACTACATCCAACCCATCATCAGGCACTGGTTCAGAACATGCACAGCCTGGTTTAGCATCATTCTCCCCTGCAAAACATGAAAATGTTTCTGTAGTAATTGGTCGTATGAAGTCTCTATGCTAAAAAAAATAATAATCATCTCTTAACAACAGAGAGACAGAAGAATTTAGTGTTGTGTTATTTCCATGTTCTCTCACATACTTTCAAAGGCCTGAATTAGAAAACCAACTTTTTCTCAGTAGCACTCTTCTGCAATGTGGTGTTGAACTCTTGGGACAATGTCTCAGGAGCACAACTAAGCTGCAGCTCATAGTGGAAACTTTGCACATCCAGTGAGGAAAGATGTTCACTGGCAATAAGAGAACTTGTATAAAATATAACTTACGGCTTTGGCTGCACAGACATATGATCATCAAAGGGCAATACAAAACAGCATATATCAGAATCTAAATGAAAACTGCATGAAGAAAAAATGGCAAGTTATTAATATATATCTTATATTGAATGTTTAACTTTCCTATTTCTTAAATATTCATCATATGGTTTTCTATTTACTCTCTGTCTTCCATTTATTTTTCCAGTGAAAAGCAGTTCTATTCTCTGCATTGATTATATGAATATAAGTATTGCTCTTTAGGTATTTGCATTTGGGAAGATAAAGTAAATAGCACTGCAATCTGACAGCAACATATGATAAATCAGCTCTTGACCAGATGTTATTCTATACAGTGAGAGAAGGATTGTTCAATTAAACAGGCTGCATATATTATTGTCTTGAATCAAAGACTACTTGCATTAATTTAAAAAAACTGTTTGAGGTTTTTGCCCTTGTTTCAAGGGATTTTCCTCCTAATTTTTATCTTAACAAATTGTATATTTGCATCACACAATATTTTGTGTTTTTTTCCTCTGGGCAGAAGAGGAATTTTTTTTCCTTTATTTTTCCTCTATTTTTCCTTTATTTTTATTTTTTTTACTTTATTTACTTTTTTTAAAACAATGTTGTTACTGTGTGCCATGAAGTTGTCTCCAACATATGGCAACCCTATGAATGAACATCCTCCAGAATGCCCTGCCTTTAACAGACATATTCAGAACTTGTAAATTCAAGGATATGGCTTCTTTGATGGAGTGACTCCATCTCACATTTGGTCTTCCCTTTTATCTTCTGCCTTAGACTTCCCTTAGCATGATTGTCTTCTCCAGTGAGTTTTGCTTCTCATGGTGTGCCCAAAACATGACAGCTTCAGTTTCGTCATTTTTGCTTCTAAGGAAAGCTCTAACTTGATCTGATTTTTTATTCTCCCAATTTTTTAATGTTTAATAGGTTTTAATGTGGGTTTTATTATATTGGAATTATTGGATGCTGAGCTCCATTTTATTTTACATTGCTTTTCTTGTAAAACCATCCCAAAACACTAGCAGTTGGATGGTATATAAAAGCTTTAAACAAACAAACTAATTTTAACCAATAACACAACACAATGTAATTGTAATCCGAACCCATGAAACAATGTAAAGTTAATGTTAAGTTCTTTATTCCCAGTTGGGTATGAGATGTACAATCAAATGTTTTATGTACTATGGACGTACTATGGACGTGCCTCTGAACATGGATCAAGGTACCACAATGGCCATCTCTGCTGCCCTGTGCCTCACAACTTGCAATTCATCCAGGCAGCCCTTTAGTGAAGGAGAAGCAGGGCACCATTTGGCAAGGACATTAGCCTTCAACCCTGACCACCTCAGAGAGGCAGGTAGCACAATTCTTTCTGTGTCACCTTGAGGGATGCAGGTTGGGGATCTGCATTCAGAGTTCCAGCCATGAGATCTGGTGACAATGTCGGGAGGCCATAGAATTGTACCCTAACTAACCTTATTAAAGTGAAATGTGAGGCAAGGCAGGGCCTACTACATGGATGGAACATTTAAGCGCATCCAGGGAGTTAAAAGTTGCAACCCCAGACTGAATATCAGTGCTACAAAAAATAAGCAACAGAAGTAAATCTCTTGAATTAAGTTGTGCTAAGATGAAATTAGTACATAGATGAACAGATGAAACAGTGAGATAATTTAGTGTTGACCTCGTGATGTAGTGCTGTAGGATTTTGTATGGTAAAGTTGAATCTGCAAGTTTTTATTGAATATGTATTTATTTTTCTTCAAACCTCCCTGACCTGTATTCAACTTGGCAGTATTTTAATAGCTCTCCTTGTTTTTCTTTAGGAATGCTGCAATACATGAGTAAAAGATATGGATAATCAAACATATGTGTCTGAGTTTCTTCTTATGGAATTCTCAAAACTTCAAGAATTGCAGTTCCTGCACTTCATCTTATTCCTGGTATTATATTTAGTGACAGTAACAGGGAATCTTCTCATCATCTCTGCTGTAGCTTTTGACCACCGTCTGCACACCCCCATGTACTTTTTTCTGATGAACTTGGCCCTGCAAGACCTTGGCACTGTTTCAGCCATTACACCCAAAGCCATGTCCAATTTGCTCATGAATGCAAGACACATTTCTTATTCCGGGTGTGTGGCTCAGGTTTTCTTCTTTGTATTCTTTGTAGGATCTGATTTCTTTCTTCTCACAATCATGGCATATGATCGGTATGTTGCTATCTGTAATCCATTGCAATATGAAATGGTAATCAACAGACAAGCCTGCACACAAATGATTACTGGTGTTTGGATCACTGGTCTTTTCTATGGTGCTTTGCACACTGGAGGCACTTTTGCAGTACCTTTTTGCTCCAATATTATCAATCAGTTGTACTGTGAAATTCCACAGTTACTAAAGCTCACATGCTCTGAATCATACCAAGCTGAATTTGCCATTCTTGCATTCTGTGCCATTATAGAATTAGGCTGTTTTGTCTTCATCGTTGTAACATATGTCTTGATCTTCATTACAGTGCTGAGAATTCCCTCTGTCCAGGGAAGGCAAAAGGCCTTCTCCACTTGCATCCCTCACCTCACAGTGTTTTCTCTATTTATATTCACTGGTTGGTTTGCCTACCTGAGACCACCCTCTGACAATCCATCTGAGCTGGATTTGGCATTAACTGTTGTATATACCTTTGTTCCACCCATGCTGAATCCAGTTATTTATAGCATGAGAAACAAAGAAATCAAAGGTGCCCTTGCTAAAATATTCATTTCATTGTGGTCTTCTATGGAAACCTATTTTCTTTTTTAATTGTGCTTCGGGATTAAACTTTATTACTTGGATTTATGTTGGAGAAAAATAATACATCCTTGAGTTACTGATGAGATAGAAAACTGTTTTTATTGTTCCAGAAAATGGTGATCTCAATGCCAGGTGTTTAAAAGTCTGAAGTTGCTACTTCATTTATCTTTCTAACTGGATCACACAGAATTGCTTCCCACAGTCTACAATAAATATTTGATGGTGGGAAGGGAAGAAATTGCAGCCACTGTTCAGATAGAGAGGGGCATTTAGTGTCTGTGTCCACACTGTAGAATATTTTGATTCATGAAGAAGAGGTGGCTCCATTCCACACTATTTTCAGTTCCTGAAGTCTTTTTATTATTTTGGCAAGCTTTCATTTATGAGTCAGAGAAAGCATGTAGGTATTTTTTAAACCTGCTGATCCTATCTCTTTTATTGATTATTACATATTGTTCTTTTTAGCAGTTCTGAATGATTAATACAGAGTTTTTCCACCCAAAAGGCAGAACATAAAGTTGTAATAATACTTAAAGACATTTGCTCCAAAATTTATACTCTTCATAGTACTATGTGGAAAATTAAATCTGCTTAATCATTCCCACTTAAGTTGATGAAAAGTGACACTGATTTTGGAAAAAAAAATCAAAGAAATGGGGAAGTTTGGTGGAATTATCGTGGGTGGAATAAGGGGATCTTGTGATTATCTCAGTTACAAGATGCTGAAGACTGTTGAGAATATCCAGTATTTTTGGTGGTTTAGAATCTTATTTCTTGCCTTAATTCTATTGCAGGAAATCATGTAGTAACTCCTCCATAGGTTTTTCCCTGACCAGAAATACAGGTAGCCAGGAAGGCTGCAGAGAAATTGTGAAATGTGTAATAGAAATCTTCAACTACCTCTCAACAATATGTTAAGTTTAAAATCACAACCTAAAGGAATGAGATAGGAAACAAGGAAGCCTAGTTCAGGAGAGAATAAATTGAAGGACTTGCTTTGGCTAACCAAGGCAATGTCATTACGGTCTCTTTTAGAAGTCAGAGGAATAGTTCTCTCCTGCACCAGATGATTTTATAGAATGTGAGTTGATGCATCACACAAAGTCACATTGCCTTCTATTCCTACCATGTTATTTTTGTAATGCTGAGTTTCCATGAGTATGCATCTTCTAAAGGGAAAGCAAACTATATCAAAATATATTTCACTGTCTGGTTCTTACTGATGATACTAGCAAAAGTTGATTCAGATTCCATTGATGTGAGGCAAGTTTGTGTATGGAGTGAGATCAGAAGGTCTCCAGCCTTCAGAATATATTTCTTTACTCTAATTCTTGTATTATGAGACAAATTAAAGGCAATGAGGCACTTTCTGTAGATTTACCCCATTCATTCCTTCTAAATGCAGACTGAAATATAATTTGAGCCAGACACTCATACTTTACCAAACTTCCAATGTGATTTACAAAACAAACAAATGAACAAAAATGTTTTTGAGAAACTCACAAAAAACCCCCCTGTGCACACTTTTCAAATGTACATAAATATACTTTAATCAATGGAAACATGTTTAAAATACATTCATTAGAAAGGAGAGCACAAAGTGCCTATATTAGGCCATTCTATAGGATCAAATATTACAAAATGCCATAGGTCTCCAGCAGAAAACTTCCCAGAGAAACCAAGCCCAGATAAAAAGTACACCCCTTGGAAATTCTCACCACTGAGCAAGGTATATGCAGTGCATACTTTATAATGTGATTGATGTAATGTATACAAAGTATGAATAAATATTCAACACAAAATGGAGGAGATGTATCACATAAACTGAAACTGAAACTACAATTACTTTGGTTTCTTGAAAATACTTTTGCGAAGAGACACAACTAAAATATTCCAAATGTAAACTTTGCAGGTAGATAGTGAAAATTTAGAAAGAAAATAAGATCCTTCCTAAATGATGGCTGTCATTTGGGACACCCAATATGAAACTCACCTTTAATTTGTGCAAGACGTGTACTTGCCTTTAAACACATCCAGAATGTAATAGATATAATGAGATAATTGCATCAGCATTTTTCTGTGCTCTACAATCAAATATAAAGGGAAGTGGAAATTTTTCTAAATTTCTGTATGTGTTACAATGCTTTATGCAGTTCCCAGCTCCAATACTGGAAGTGAGTTCAACTAGGAGGAAATGTTTAAAGCAACAAAACATAGTGAAGTAAGGTACTAAGGTTGGGTAAATTGAAGAACTCCTTTACATACCACCTTTCATGGAAAGAGTCTACTCATGGAAAGAGTCTATTCTACTTCCATGTTTACTGGGAACAAACATCCGAAGCATATACTTAAATCTGTTTCCATGTGTTTGAGAGAGTCTTTCAAGAGTAACAGATGAAATGTAGAATTTAAAATGGTACTAAAGGATCCTCTTTTTTCTACAATCTTGGGCTATTTTCCACCAGATTACAAGTCATATCAATCAAGTGACGTGTCTCAGAAGCTAGCACATTTGTCAGATTGATGGGACCACACCACAGGTCTTTGCTTATTCTTGTAATCATAACTCCACATTGCTCTAAGCATTATATAAAAATGTTATTCCAACATCTTATTTGGATGCTGCAGCACAGATAAAACCTCTGCATCTTAAATAATGTAAACAGTTTTAAATCTTTAATTATTTACTGCTATTCAAAGTATCTTTATGCTTTTTCAGAAGTACCAGTTGCTAATAGAGACTTTTACAGAAATTCAGCAAATAAATTCTGTTCCTTCACTTGAACATTTGGGACGCCGTCAGTCTATATCACTTAAAAGCATAGACAGATGGACATTTTGCTCAGCTACTCTACTGTATTTTTTCTTGAAAAGCCACAATCTACTAAATGGCTGATGTAGCCCATAGAAAAGAGAGTAGGGATGGCTCCCTGCAGAGATGACTCTGTGTTGTAGACCTATGCTGCTCAGTTGCTTTGGACTCTAGAGGCCATGCCTCAAGGAACACAAAAGCCCTCATCCTTTAGCTGCATCTTCATACTGAGAATACTTCATACTAAGCTTTCACCACCTGTGTAAAAGGGAGGGCAAGAACACTTCTATAAGTTTTCCTCTCGAGTTCTGCAGGAACATCATCATCTAAAAGACATGAATCAGAATTTAAAGGACATCTGCATGAAGAACAAGGGCAAGTTATTAATATAAGTTTAGCCTGAATGATCTGCCGCTCCACCCTTTCTTTCCTCACATCATCATCATAAGCTTCTCCATGTTTTTTCTTACATTTAGTACCAGTTTAAACTCGTTGTGCTTAAGTAGTCTATATGGGTATTGGTTGTAGGATATTTTTGTTTTGCAAGGAGGATTAAAATAAACAGTACTGTAATAGCAAAGAAACATTTAGGAATTAAACTTTTCATCAAAGTGCTTCAGTTTACTGTGACATGGAGGCTTCATTTAATGAAGCAGAATAGGGGGAAATAAATACATAAATGTCACCTGTTAAAATTGATTTGAATTCTTTAATACAAATACCTGCTCTTCTCTAATAAAACCAAATTGAATTTATTGATTTATTATTTAATTCCATTTCTATGCTGCCCCATAACTCAAAGGTTCTCTAGGTGGCTTGCAGTCATTCATTATGATCCTACACAGCTCAATTTTGCTCAACCTCCCATTTTAAAAATTACTCAATATATTTTCTACTTCACATTGCAATATTTTAAAGTACATGTGTATTTTAAGCATTTCTCAAAATATAGGCATTCTTTTCTCTCTTAAATAAAACGTGTTTTTGAGTTCTTCCACCTAATGTATGCATTTTTGTCTACATTGTCCATCCTGTATGTATTTTTCATACATTTTCAAAACCGAATATGCATTTATATTCTGTGTTCCTGTCCTCCATTTAGAAAATGCAAAACTTGGTCTTTTTGGATTGAAAACCAAGCCAATTAATTGCTTGCCAATCTTTAATAAATGTATATTTGGGCTTCATTTATATCTATCATCTAGCTAGAGTTTCCATGACAAAAGTGTTCATGTTTTTCTGACAACTTAGAGGTATATGTTGAACTCATTAAAATGCAAGTGGATGAAGAGATCTGAAGCTAAGATCATATATCACATACATCTATCTTTTGGTTTGATATCATCATTACACATTATCATATGCCTCAGTGTGCGTGTGTGTGTGTGTTTGTGAATGTTTCCAAATTCACACTCTTACCAGTTTTTAAAAAGTGTTGTTATACAGGTATGCTTTGAGAACATGCATGTGTTAATGCATGTGCATTATTTTTAAAGTGTGATAACAACTTTGAAATCTTCAATTCAGTGTTGTTTATTTTTTCTCTATCTTAGGTATCCAAAGTCAAGGTAGGGTTGGGAGGAAGAGCATGGTGGGAAGACAGATATGCTATCTTTTGGAATAATGCAAAGGTTAATTTTATTGTGCTAAAAATAAACAGAACAACCATAGATCTGGATTTGAACAACACAACAACCCAAACGCTAAGGTAAGTCAGAGCTGAGTGAGGGTTCCTATTGGACCATGTGCTGTTCTGCTCTAGCCATGCGAGCAAACCACAGTCTTTAATCATGAACAATAAACAAAAAGAACCCATTATGTCTTGTTGGGTTTGAAACAGGATGGGGGTTGCTAATGAATGGTTATTGTGCTTGTGTTGTATGAACCTAGTTAGTGTGTGGAAAGATGGAGAGGATATAATTGGAAGGATTTAATACATTTTCTCTTGTTTTACAACTTACATTCATTTGGTTTCCTTGCGATTGGTGGCTGGCAAAATAATGCTTGCAGCCATCACTATCCTTGTTGTACTCGAATCTCTTGCTTTGCATGAAGGGATTTTTGAAGATGAAAACTCAACTCTTACTGTTGAATACACTGTCAGAGAATATTATTGTAAAGTCCTTTAAATTTAGTAGTGCATGGATAAAATAATATTCTGTGATGCATTGTTAGTATTGCACATAAATCAAACATGGCACACCAGTAAATATGAAATCAAAGGACAAATGGACAGAACACAATGGAAGTCTGTCATGTTTGGTATGATAAATGTGAATCTCCTAAGTCCTATCCTTTAACCATGTCCAAAGTGAATTCAGTAGAAAGCATTATAAGAGCTCTCCTTGGTTTTCATCTAGGCACAACGTGATGAATAAATAAGAATGGATAACCAGACAGCCGTCTCTGACTTTCTCCTCTTGGAAATCTCAAAGGATCGAAAACTGCAGATCATATACTTCATCTTCTTCCTGGCATTGTTCTTGGCAACACTAACAGGGAATCTTCTCATCATTGCTGCCATAGCTTTTGACCACCACCTTCATACCCCAATGTACTTCTTCCTGATGAACCTGGCCATGCAGGACATAGGTTCGATTTCAGTTATTATCCCCAAGTCCATGGTCAATTCCCTCATGCATATCAGAGAGATTTCTTATACTGGATGTGTGACTCAAGTTCTCTTGTTCGTCTTCTTTGTAGGGTCCGATATTGCTCTCCTAACAGTCATGGCACATGATCGATATGTTGCCATTTGCAATCCATTGCAATATGAAATGATCATGAACCAGGAAACTTGCATTCAGATGGTTGCTAGTGCATGGATTGCTTGCCTTCTCAATGCCGTGTTACACACAGGTGGAACATTTGCAAGCCCTTTCTGCTCTAGTCTTGTCAACCAGATGTTTTGTGAAATTCCACAGTTATTGAAGCTTGCCTGCTCTGACTTACACTATATTGAACAAGGATTTATTCTGTTTAGTATTGTAATTGCATCTGGATGCTTTATCTTCACCACTGTCACTTATGCACAGATTCTCACTGCTGTTCTCAAAATCCCTTCTGTTCAGGGAAGGAAAAAGGCTTTCTCTACCTGCTTACCCCATCTTATTGTTTTCTCTATATTTTTATTAACAGCATGCTTTGCTTATCTGAGGCCTACACCTGACCAACCTTCAAATCTGGATTTGGTGTTTACTCTGCTATATTCAATTCTGCCTCCCATGCTGAATCCTGTAATCTACAGCATGAGAAACAGGGACATCAAGGTAGCCCTGTCAAGGCTTTTATCTCTGGGGCAATCTTCCTAGAATACTTTCTCAATTCGTTTGCTTTACATATGGAATCTATGGATCCTAATCATGCTCAATCATGTACAACTTCATGATAAATGTTAGATGCTGAAATTGGGGATATGGTGGAGGCACGCTTGAGCCCCTTTGTGCTATATCAGACACTCACAAGATTGGCTTCTCAGCCTCAGTCTTTCCTCTTTTTGAGAAGTTCCCCTGGAATACTGAAGAGGCTGTCACTGGTGATAGTGCAGGCAAGATTGCAAATAGCAGCGGGGGGGGGGGGGGGGTTCTAATTTTTGTTTTGTTCTGTTTCCTGCTCTTGACTTGTGCCTCACTTAAGCACTGGATATTACCCATGGTGAAATCTACCATCTCACTGTAGATGGTATGACAGCCCCTCATGGGTGAAACAAACTCAAGAACAGAGTACAAGTTGTCTGTGTGGCTTATTTAACAAAACTAAGCAGTAAAACAAACAAAAAGTCTTCATGAGTAGAGTGCACAGTTTCTGATGACATGACAACAGACCATAGTACCCATGCATGATGGGCTGTCATGTTTTCTGAACCAAGTTAATGGGTCACTAGGCCCATCACAGAAAGTACTCCAGAGAATAAGAAACAGTTGTTTCATCTGCAGAAAAACCACAATGGGCCTGACATTCAATAGAGATAACAATGGGTAGTCCCCTCGCCTTCTTCCTCAATCCTGCAGCAGGTATTCATGGAGACCTGTCAGTTAAAGCTACCGTCTTTCCACTTCCTGTCACAACTGCAGGTCCCTTTTCACTTGCAACACTTTTCATCTCTTTACAATGTATTGATTTGTTTATTTATTACTTTTATTTCATTGTGACAGAGTGAATCACTAGCCACTGTCTTTCATCTTTTAATATAGCACACAGGAAAAAGACAATGACAATGACATGACAAATACACCAATTTGCATCCTCTGTGGGCTAAGCTCCAGAGCTGGCAGTTACTATGCCTTGACAGCAGACAGAATGGGAAGTGAGGTTTCCCATTATGGACTCTTCGAAGTATGCCCCTCTGCACTTGTGAAAGTCCATCTGACTTTTAAATTAATAAAATACCTATGCAGAGTTCTTGTGCTTAATTTTTTTAAAGGGTGGCCAAGTGATGCTTAGGCACTTTGGAGGACCTCTCACTACCTTGGAAATTGCAACATGGAAGTTGTGGCAAGGAGGACACAAAACTGATCTCCTGGGGAAGAACAGAGGGGCAAAGAAAACCTGTGGTTATATATTTATCTATTATTAGTTCAGATGACATTTATATTTTGCAGAGGGACATGAAGAAAATGAATTTCATTAGTTATCTCAGAGGTTTAAAGTTGCTAATTTTGAATGGCAGCAACATATATAAATGTGTGTGTGCAAGACAGAGAGTAAATATGATGAATCCTAAGTACGTAATTTGACAGGGGAATGGAAATTGTAATCGGTATAAATAAATACATAGTTGAAACCCAAACCATTACATGTCCATTACCTAAGCCTCAGAAAAGCTTGAGAGCATTGCCTATATAAACCGTCACCTTCATGCAGACAACTGACATAAGATGTAATAGACTGCTGAGAATAGAATACCCGGAGGACATGTGGAAATGAGACATGGATAAATTTTCCACAGCTCATTTAACTCAACCACCACCATTAGAGAAAGAATGTTTTTCTGGGGATATCTTCCCATCCCTCAACCAGTGACCTGCATGGCAAAGAGGTAGCTGAGACTGCCTTCTTTTCTCAGACTCCAAACGAATCAGACCATGATGGCAAACCAATCAAGGGTGAGCGAATTCTTGCTGAATGGAGTCCCTGAAACTCCAGAGGTGAAGATGCTTCACATCATGCTTTTTCTCATCCTGTACTTGGTGGCCCTCACTGAGAACTTTCTCATCACTGCAGTGATCATTTATAGTCATCAACTCCATACGCCCATGTACTACTTCCTGGCCAACCTCTCATTCCAAGACTTCGGCTCCATATCTGTCACAGTCCCCAAGTCTGTAGTCAACTCCTTGATGGACTCCCAAGCCATTTCTTACTCTGGATGTGTCTGTCAAGTTTTCTTCCTTGTCTTCTTCATGCTATCTCACTTCTTCCTCCTCGGTGTTATGGCATATGATCGCTATGTTGCTATCTGCAATCCTCTTCACTATAAGACTGTGATGAACAAGAGAACCTGCATCCAACTGGCAACCAGTGCATGGATATGTGGCCTTTTTTATGCATTACTGTATACTGGAAATGCATTTTCAGTGTGGTTCTGTTCCAATGTAGTGAACCAGTTCTTTTGTGAAATCCCACAACTCCTCAAGATCTCTTGCTCGGAGCCCTACTTTCCTGAAGTAGGAGTGATGACCTTTGGTGCATGTCTTTGCTTCACTTATCTTGCTCTCATTACTTTTTCTTATATTCTGATCTTTAGAGAAGTGATAAGAATTCCATCAACACAAGGGAGGCAGAAAGCCTTTTCAACATGCTTGCCACATCTTGTTGTCATCTCCTTGTTCATGGTGAGTGGTTGCTTTGCCTATTTCAAACCAAACTTCTCTTCTGCATCAGTATTAGATCTTTTGGTGTCTATACTGTATTGCATAGTTCCACCGGTGATGAATCCAGTGATTTATAGCATGAGGAGCAATGAACTCAAAATGGCATTTTGTAAGCTGTTAGTCAACATTTTGCCACAAAAACTTTCTCCTGTCAGTCAAGGTAGGAAATAGTTCCATTTCTCCATACATGTAACAGAAAAAGTTTTGTGTACACTGTAATTCAATTGTTTGTTTTTTCTATATTAGGATAAAGATGCTACATTTTTTCTGACCACAGTCCTTTGCTTTATTTGTTGCATGATGACATTTTTAAGAGTGCCCATGGAAATATGTGTAGATCATTGAATATATTCATCCTAATATAAAGATTTTGAAAGTATCTTGGGAAAAAATGAATGTTGTAGTTTTCATATCTATGTGCACATGTGTGTATACGCTTGTCTCGTATAAAATAGTGGTTTTGTATGCATTCAAAAAACTGCAAACTTCACTGCAATATCCCACTGAGTATGGAAATAGAACTCAGTTTCTCATTAAATAATATGTTGGGAATTGTAAAGTACATTTCAACCCACCAGCTCAGTGAAATATTTCCTTGATTCCTACAAATCACTTCAGCCTATTGTGAGTAAGGAAGAGGGACAACCCCTCACCCTCCACAGCACCCCCCCTTGCCCCATGCTGGCATGCAGCGAGACCCTGGTGCAGGTGCCCTTCTTCCTCTCTTCACTATGCCTGGCACTGCCCTGTCCCTCGTGATGAAAACAGTAGTTGCTTGTCCATCTACACAAAGTTTGCTTGCAGCAGGAGAGTTCCTTGTGGGGACAGAGAAGTGGAATCAGTACTGTGGCCCCATCCACCCTCCCACATCTCATTTTGGATTGGGAAGAGAGCCGTGAGGAGCCCTATGCTGGCAGTGAGGAGGATGACTGCCTTGAGAAGGATGACTGCCCATGCAGCAGGCTGGAGTGAGCCCTGGCTCTTGGTCTCCTAATGAGGCTTCAGCAGAGGCAGGCAGCCCAGTTAGAAGACTGGCACATGGAGAGGAGGCAAGCTCACTTTCAGAAGGCTCTTCCTGATGGGATGAGGCTCAGGAATACTAATAAGGAGATTTCCTAGAAGCAGTTCTGGATTGAGATTAACAGACTGCTCTGTGCATGCTCAGATATTGGTTGGTTGCTCTAGTGTGCTATTTGGGCATTGGTGGGGTGTGTCACAGGTGATGCCACAGATGGTGACCCAGGACCTCAGCAAGAGAAGTGAAGGTTTTAATTCCTCTTCCCAACTGGCCACACTCTGCTTCCTGCAGCCCACAAAAGGCTGGGTCACTTGGTTCTCATGGCATGGCATCACATTGTTCACCATCTTCCCGAGCAACCCTTGGTTTGTCAGACTGGCTTTTTGCAGAAACCTCTTTGGGCTGGCATGACACAATAGAAAAAAAATGTCTCTCACGATGAGCTGCCCTGTTGAAAAAAAAGTTATGTGGCACTGCTTTGTCTCCTCTCCTCTCCTCCTATTGCTTTAACTGTATTATTAATGTTGTGTTAGTCGCAAAGTCGTGTCCAACCCATCACGACCCCATAGACAACATTCTTCCAGGCCTATTATTAATATTGATGCATTATTAGTTTGGATGATAAGGGATTCTTTGGAGGAAAGAAAGTAAAGCTCATTTTATTATTCATTTCTTGATTGATTGGTTTGTTTTATATAACCTCACTGAATAGTCCCAAGGAAGACTCTGGTCAGTGTACATCCAACAAAGAAGCAGCATAGAAATTAAGCTTAAATTTAACAGGATTTATTCTCAACTAGTATACTGGATAAATAATCACTTAGCATTTATTAAATGAATCTAATTAGAGTTAATGTCAGTCACCCACAGTATGTCATATAGAATGATAACTTTTACTATTTTTTAAAATGGATGTGTAGGTTGCCATTGTTTTTCAAGTCCCTTACAAAAGGCTAAGAAACAGTTTGGATCATGGCCAGCAAATACCATCATCTCACAAAGACATTCAACTTCACCTTGTGAAGCTGTAACAGACTCCCGAGAGTTGAGCTCCCCAAGGACATGTAGAAATGAGGAATACTTAAATTTTCCACAGCTCATTGTTCGAAAGCAGAGAGAGAGAGTACTTTTCTGAGGGTATCTTCCTATCACTTAACAAGTAAACCGGATGAGAAAGAGGTAGCTGAGACTGCCTTCTTTTCTCAGACACAGAACAAGCATGATGGAAAACCGAACAAGAGTCAGTGAATTCTTGCTGAATATATTCCCAGATACTCCAGAACTGAAGATACTTCACATCATGGTTTTTCTCATACTGTATGTGGTGGCCTTCACAGAGAACTTTCTCATCATCACAGTCATCATCTATAGCCATCAGCTCCATAAGCCCATGTACTTCTTTCTGGCCAACCTCTCATTCCAAGACCTTGGCTCTATATCTGTCACAGTCCCCAAATCTGTGGCCAACTCCTTGATGGGCACCCAAGCCATCTCTTACTCTGGTTGCTCTTGCCAAGTTTTCTTCCTTGTCTTCTTCATGATATCCCACTTCTTCCTCCTTAGTGTCATGGCTTATGATCGCTACGTTGCCATCTGTAATCCACTGCATTATGAGAGTGTGATGAACAAGAGAACCTGCATCCAACTGGCAACCAGTGCATGGATTTGTGGCCTTTTTTATGCAACACTTTATACTGGAAATGCATTCTCAGTGTGGTTCTGTTCCAGTGTAGTCAACCAGTTCTTTTGTGAGATCCCACAACTCCTTAAGATCTCTTGCTCAGAGCCCTATTTTCCTGAAGTTGGAGTGATGGTACTTGGTGCTTGTTTAGGTTTCATTTTGTTTGTGCTAATTCCTTTTTCTTACATTCAGATCTTCAGAACAGTGATAAGAATCCCATCTACACAAGGGAGACAGAAAGCCTTTTCAACATGCTTGCCGCATCTTGTTGTCATCTCCTTGTTTGTGGTGAGTGGTTTCTTTGCCTATTTGAAACCTACCTCCACTTCTGCATCGGTATTAGACCTCTTGGTGTCTATACTGTACTGCATAGTTCCACCAGTGATGAACCCAGTAATTTATAGCATGAGGAACAAAGAGCTCAAAATGGCATTGTTTAAGCTGGTTGTCAACATTTTGTCTAAAATGTAGGAAACTGTTTCAATTGTCTAGATCTGTTGCTGTAAACTTTTGTATATACACCTTAATTCAGTTCTTTTTTATACCTTAGGGAAAAGATCACAAATTGTTTTGTAAGTACAGTCCTGTATGAATGGACATTACCTTTCTATAAATAACAATGCAGCAGTGCTTTTTACAGGCAACTTTCTTGCTAGAACTGGAGTAGAATCACAGGAATACAGTGGTGATGAACGTATGCAAGGTGCTCAAATGCATGAGGTTTGTAGGCTCACCCTTCCAAATTGTTGCAGGGTATTGAGCTTAAGTAACATATGGCAAGGCAAAATAAACCCATCCTGTTTTTCTTTATGCAATATCCGTATCTATGTATATATAGGGATATACATTTATTTATTTCCTTGCATGCTTTCAGACTAGATATAGCCTGACTTTCCTTCATGAATGGTTACAGGCAGGGTACAGTCCAAAATTTCAAGCAACTTAAAAATATAAACAATGTCAACAATTCAGCTATAAACCCATACAAAGTAAAATGTGAATAAGAAGCACAGAAAATTTCGGCAACTCACTATAAGAAAAAGCAGTATTTTAACTGTTCCGCCAAAAGCAAGCAGTGAATTGACCATGTGGCTCTTCCTGGGCTAGGCATTCCCAGTCTAGCTGTACCCATTTCTTGTGGTCACTTGTTGGTTTTCAAAGAATCAGAGAAAAAGGAGCACAATGGAACACAATGGCAGAAGGATTTTGCAGACTGTAGATGATTTTGTGTCATTTATTTGAATAACTGCATTGCAAAATCCAGGGATGAAGAGAAACTTAACTATGCTTTTCATTCATGCATTGGGCTGGGAAGTGTCAGGTTCATGCCTACATGTACATTCACTGTTTTTATTATTTACTGTATGATGGGTTCATGACAAGAGAAAAAGCAAGTATATACACACAGTCCTCACAAATATATGCAAAAATCCTGCAGGGGTACAGTGGTAGCCACATAACTGGATATCTAGTTCAGCTCACCAGGCTATCGCCTCTGGTGTTGCTTCATGCAGATCTTCTAAGGAGCAAGGAAACAGACGTCTTGGGCATTCTTGCATAATATGTTTGATAGTTTGCATGACGGCAACACAGTCACAACAAGAAGAACCTTCCCATCCCCATTGATACAGAGTAGAGACACTCCTTCCAGTATCACATCTAATTCTATTCAATTTCACCCAGACAAAGCAAGGCAGGTCATAGTCAGTGAGTTTGGAAGCCCTCACCTATTGATGATTTGTTCACTGTTTCATGCATTATGAAATGACAATACAATCCCAAAAATAAAATGCAGAATGCAATCCAAATGCACAAAACCTTTGAATTTGCAGGCGTACAGGCATCCTGTTCAGGGCAGAAAGAACAAGAAAGGGAAGGTTTCATCCTGCCACCTTGGCAATGCCTCTCCCTGCTCTTCTCAGTGCTGGTTGCTCCTGCGACTTCAGGGATACACCCAGAACTGTGGCAGCCCCAGGGTGGACAGAATATTCTGTGCTTGGAGTTCCACTTATGAAAGCTCACATTTTCAGAGTTGCACACAATTTAAAATGCACAGATTCACAATCTTTTTGGATACAATGTCCAGGTTCTACAATTTCTGTGCTATACATCAGATATCCAGATGAGAATTTTAACAGCCTTCCCCAAGGGGCTACACTATGCTTTTGGCAACACACAATGGGTTTGGTCACCTGGGTTCAGATGCCTTGGCATCCCAAGGGCTCACCATCCTCTGAAACAAGCCATGCTTTCTTAGAGTGGACTTTGTCCTCAAAATATAGTCTTAAAGGCTCCCTGGGTTTGCATGGCACAACAACAGCAAAATTCTCTTGACACAAATGCAAAAGTGCAATTAATTTTGAGTTGTCACGTTGTAAAAATCTGTCAAAATGTGGTGCTGTTCTGTCTCATGTTGATCTTTAAAAAAAACTCTATTCTTTATAGCAATGTATTATGAGTGCAGATTATGAGAGATAGCTTGGGAATGGGGGGCAATAAATGAAGGAAATTTCATTTCATTTCAAATAGACTGCAGAATTTGAAGGGGCAACCACCCATACTATTTCATACAGTACGACTAAATGAGATGACTTACAAACTTTTCCATAGTGGGAGTGGATGTCATGGTACATTTCAAGCCCCTTCTATAAGTCAAAGTTGCAGATTGGGACATGGGCAATACATAGCATTCCCTTCACGCAGACATTTGGCTTAACTCTGTGAAGCTGAAGTACACTCATGAGAATTGTGCAGTCCATGGACATGTAGAAATGAGACATGGAAAAATTCTCCACAGCTTGTTTTTCTCCAGCATAATCGTTAGAGAGAGAATGCTTCTCTGAGACTGTCAGCCCATCCCTCAAGAGGTAAAGCTGGATGAGAAAAGATAGCTGAGATGGCCTTCATTTCTCAGACAGCAAACAAGTCAGAGCATGACAGCAAACCAATCAAGAGTGAATGAATTCCTGCTAAATGGATTCCCTGACATTCAGGAGCTGCTGATGCTGCACATCATGATTTTTCTCATACTGTACTTGGTGGCCCTCACAGAGAACTTCACCATTGTCACAGGCATCATCTATAGCCATCAGCTTCACACACCCATGTATTTCTTCCTGGCCAACCTCTCATTCCAACACTATATCTGTCACTGTTCCCAAGTTCTTGGTAAACTCCTTGATGGACACCCATGCTATCTCTTACTTTGGATGTGTCTTCCAAGATTTCTTCCTTGTCCTCTTCCTGCTATCCCACTTCTTCCTCCTTGGTGTCATGACATATTATCACTACGTTGCCATCTGCACTCTTCTTCACTATGAGACTGTGAGAACCTGCATCCAACTAGCAGCAAATGCATGGATTGGTGATCTTTTCTATGCAATATTATATACTGGAAATGCATTCACAGTGTGGTTCTATTCCAATATAATTAAACACTTCTTTTGTGAAATCCCTCAACTCCTCAAGATCTCTTGTTCAGATCCATATTTTCTGGAGTGATTACATTTGGTGCTTGTTTAGGTTTTGCTTATTTTACACTCATTGGCTTTTCTTATATTCATATCTTCAGAACAGTCATACAAATTCCATCTACATATGGGAAGCAGAAAGCTTTTTCAGCTTGTTTGCCACATCTTATTGTCATCTCCTTGTTTGTTGTGAGTGGTACTTTTGCATATTTGAAGCCAACCTCCACTTCTCCATCGGTGTTAGATCTCTTGCTGTCCACACTGTACAGCAATATGCCACCGGTGATGAGCCCAGTGATTTATAGCATGAAGAACAAAGAACTAAAAATGGCATTTCGTAAGCTGATTGTCAACATTTTGCCTAAATTTCTGCATAAAAGACAGTAGCTGTGCTTGTATTCTAGGAAACAGTTGGAGTTCTCTAGACATGTTGCAATAAAGATTTTTTATTCCTTTTTCATAGACTTTGCTTTTTATATCAGGGAAAGAATCCTATATTGTCTTGTGATCCCAAAGAATGGATATTAATTTTTATTATATAATTATGAAATACCAGTTTTCATCAGGCCATTAATATGCAGTCTTCTGCTTACTAAAACTGGAGTGGAATCATGGTGGTGGGGACAGTGGGAGATAGGAATATGATAAAATTTGTAAAAAATTGTAGAATGTTACAGTTCATGAGGGTTGTAGCCTGAGTACCATATGGCAGGGCAAAATGACCCCAACCCTTGTTTTTTATGCAATATCGATACCCATATCCCATAACATAACATTTATTTATGAAGGTATGTTAATTTCATAATGTATTATGCAACGAAATTCAAACTAAAAAATGTAATGCAGAATGCAATCCAAATGCACAAAACCTTTGAATTCAGAGCAGTACAAGTGTCCAGTGCATGGCAGATAGAGATGTCACAACAGCCAACAACAATCATGGGATGTTGATCTGCCTTCCTCTTCAGTCCTCCATTGGGTATCTTAGGGGACTTGGTGATTAAAGCCACATGATTCCTTCCTCCCATCACCACTGTGGCATCTTTTTCACTTGCCATGGGTTTCCTCCCCCATTACCATAGATATTTTAATTTTTATTCTTTGGTTTAGAGCATCTTGATGTAAAGTAGTGATCCACAGATCTTTTGTGAACACGTGATTTCCCTTGCCTTGAAATCTCATACTTCCACAGCAGGGCACAATTAAAAATATCCCAGAGTGCAATCTCTTTGGGTCAGTGTCCCAGGTCTGCAACTTCTATGCTTTGACATCTGATATCAGGGTGACCACTCTTCCCCAGTGGTAGCACCATGCTTTTGGCAACCCACAATGAGTTTGGCCACTTGGTCTGAGATGCTTTGGCATCCCATTGTGGGCTAACCATTCTCCAGAACAAGTTTGTCAGAGTGTCTTTTGGCCCCAAAATATTCAATAGCAAGATTTGCAAGATACAACAACAAAACTTTTTTGCAAAAAATGCAAAATTGTGATCAATGCTGAGCTGTCATTTTGCAAAAAACAAACAGACAATTGTTTTGCTGTTCTGTTTCATTTTGCTCAATTATTTTAACTCTATTGTTAAAAGGAAAGTATTCCTACTGCAGTTAATGAGAGATTCCTTGGGGGAAAAACAAATCAAAGAAAGTTTATTTTATTATTCATAGACTGAAGAATTTGGAGGGGCAGCCACCCATACTATGTTGTACAGTATGACAAAATGTGATAACTTTCAAACTTTTCTCTAATTGGAGTGGAGGCTGCCATTGCATTTCAAGGACGCTGCCTTTTATCATGACAAATACACACCATCACTGTCACACAGACATTTGATTTAATCTTGTGAAGTGGTAATAAATTCCCAAGGCTTGAGCACTCCAAGGACATGTAAAAAAGAGACATGGTTAAATTCCCTACAGCTTCTTTTTTCCTGCACGATCATTAGTGAGAGAAAGCTTATCTGAGACTGCCTGCCCATCCCTCATGAGGAAACTTGCATGAGAAAGAGTAAGCAGAGACTGCTTTCTTTTCTCAAACACTAAAGAATTCAGAGCATGATGTCAAACCAATCAAGAGTGAGTGAATTCTTGCTGAATGGATTCCCTGACATTCACGAGCTGAAGATGCTTCACATCATGGTTTTTCTCATACTGTATTTCGTAGCCCTAACAGAGAACTTTCTCATCATTACAGTAATAATTTACAACCATCAGCTCCACACGCCCATGTACTTCTTCCTGGCCAACCTCTCATTCCAAGACTTTGGCTCCATATCTGTCACAGTCCCCAAGTCTGTGGCCAACTCCTTGATGGACACCCAAGCCATCTCATACTCTGGATGTGTCTGCCAAGTTTTCTTCCTAGTTTTCTTCATGATGTCCCACTTCTTCCTCCTTGGTGTCATGGCATATGATCGCTACATTGCAATCTGCAGTCCTCTCCATTATGAGAGTGTGATGAACAACAGAACCTGCATCCAACTGGCAACCAGTGCTTGGATTGGTGGTCTTTTCTACTCAATAGTGCATACTGGGAATGCTTTCACAGTGGAGTTCTGTTCCAATATAATCAACCAGTTCTTCTGTGAAATCCCACATCTCCTCAAGATCTCTTGCTCAGACCTATATTTCCTTGAAGTAGGAGTGATGACTTTTAGCTCTTTTTTAGCTTTCATTTATTTTTCACTCATCATTTTTTCTTATATTAAGATCTTCAGGGCTGTTCTAAGAATTCCATCTACACAAGGGAGGCAGAAAGCCTTTTCAACTTGCTTGCCACATCTTATTGTCATCTCCTTGTTTCTGGTGAGTGGTACTGTTGCCTATGTGAAACCAGCCTCCACCTCACCGTCAACTTTTGATCTCTTGGCATCTGTACTGTACTGTTTAGTGCCACCGGTGATGAACCCAGTGATTTATAGCATGAGGAGCAAAGAACTCAAAATGGCATTTTGTAAATTGATTGTCAGCATTTTGCCTAAATTTTTGCTTCAAGAACACTATCCTGTGCATGTATGACTGGGAACTATTTCATTTGCTTAGAACTTTCACAGGAAACTTTGTGTGTACCTTTTCATTCAATTGTTTTTTGTATATAATGGAAAAGATCCTATATTCTTCCATGAACTCTGTCCTGTATGAATAGACCTTCAATGATTATCAATATCTATGCTGCACTACTTTTCTTCAGGCCATTATCATGCAGTCTTCTTCTCACTGAAACTAGTATCAAGTCACCGGGGGCAGTGGTGGTGAGAAAAATGGTGAAATTTAAAAGCGTTTGCCAGATGCTCAAATGCATGGTGACTGTAGGCTGACCCTCTTAAATAGTTGTGTGATGCTGAGTACCATATTGCAAGGAAAAATGATCTCATGCAGTGTTTGTTTTTGCAGTATCCATGAGAGTCTGTGTGTACATGAAATTTCCTTGTTTGCTTTCAAACGAAGTATATCCTGCCTTTCCATCACTGATGACGCTAAGTAGCATACAGTGCAAATTTTCCAGCAACATTAGTATCAACAATATTAACAAATAAAAAATCACAGCACTCTGCATCCAAAATAATGAGTCCATGCATGGTAAGTAAAAGCAGAATGTTAGTTGTTCCTCAAAAGGCGAGCAGTGAATTGGCCATGTGGAATGCCCTGGGCAAGACATTCCCAGTCCAGCCATCCCTGCCTTGTGTGGTCACTTGCTGGATTTCAGAGAACAAGGGCAAATGGAAAAAAATGCAACACAAAGGGAGAAGAATGCAGATTTTATATCATTTACTCTCATTCTCTCTCATGTACACACACTTGGTGAACTGCATTGCAAAATCCAGAGAGCCAGGGAAACTGAAGAGCAGATGTGTCTCCCATTCATGTCTTGGTTTGGGAAGTGTCAAGTTGATGCCTCCATATGCAGTCAGTGACATAATCCTTCAGCCATACTAGGCATTCCATTTCTTGTTTCTAGCCATAGGATTGCTGTGTGAATGCAGTACATTTCTTAAGCATCTGCAGATGCTCTGAAGGACTCACATTGTTCTTCATATATGTATTTGGATTCTTTAATTGATTCATTTTCCAAAATAAATGATGTGAACATTGTCCTCTCCAGATGGATTGACTTGGCTGCTTCATTGAAGGGTACTAAGTAAAAGCATTTAGGGTTATGGAGCCAAACAGTAGCTCCTCCAGACTAAGCAAAAATAAATCCAAACAGGATTTTCTAAAAGATTCTCTACGTTGCCATCTGCCATCCTCTTCATTATCAAACTGTGGTGAACAAGAGAACCTGCATTCAACTGGCAACCAGTGCTTGGTTAGGTGGCCTATTCTATGCAGCACTGTATACGGGAAATGCATTCACACAGCTCTGTTCCAATATAATCAACCAGTTCTTTTGTGAAATCCCACAACTCCTCAAGATCACTTGCACAAACCAAAACATTACTGAAGTAGGCGTGATGACCTTTGGTGCTTGTTTAGCTTTCATTTATTTTCTGCTCATTCCTTTTTCTTATATTCAGATCTTCAGGGCTGTTCTAAGAATCCCATCTACACAAGGGAGATGTTTTCATCTTGCTTGTCACATCTGATTGTCATCTCCTTGTTCGTGGTGAGTGGTAGCTTTGCGTATTTGAAGCCTACTTCCACTTCTGCATCTGTGTTAGATCTCTTGGTGTCCACACTGTACTGCATCATGACACCGGTGATGAACCCAGTGATTTATAGCATGAGGAACAAAGAACTCAAAACGGCATTTTGTAAGCTGATTTTCAACATTTTGCCTCAAGTGTTGCAGAAAAAACATTCTCCTGTGCATGTAATGTAGGAAATATTTCCTTTTCTCTAAACATATTGCAGAAAATTTTTTGTGTACAGTTTAATTCAATTGTTTTTTCTAGATCTGAATAAAGATCCCACACTGTTTTGGCACTACAGTCCTAGATAGAATCAAGCCAGAACTGTCTTTAGAAGCAAAAGTGAAAAAACTGAAGTGCTCATATGTTAAGCCCATCATGAACAAGCAAACCTCACTGCAGAAAACAATCATACTAAAGTTTTGCACGAAAGACAGAAGCTGTGCTAGTATTCTAGGAAACAGTTGCATTTCTCTAGACATGTTGCAGTAAAGATTTTGTATACCTTTTCATACACTGTGTTTTGCATTTCTGGGAAAAGACCCTATATTGTTTTGTGGCATGCAAGAATGGGCACTAATTTATTTTACATAACTATGAAATACTGGTTTTCATCAGGCCATTACCAAGCAGTGTTCTGCTTTCTGAAACTAGAGTGGAATCATAGGTTTTGGGTGGGGGAGAGGTATTTAGGAATATGATGAACTTCGTTAGAAATCAAGAAATGCTACAGTTCATGAGGGTTGTAGCCTGAGTACCAAATGGCAGGGCAAAGTGACCCCAACCCTTTTTTAAATGCAATATCCATATCTATATCCTACAGCATAATGTTATGTAACAAAGCATAACAGAACAGATATCTATATTTAATTCTGTGGCTTATTTGAAACTAGACGAGTGATCTAGACATATTGCAGTATGCTAGTTTTTCCTCAAAGGCAAGCAGTGAACTGGCCATGTGGAACTCCTTGGGCAAGGCCGTCTAGTCATCCCTGCTTCATGTGGACACTTGCTGGGTTTCTAGAAATGAGGGCGGAACGAATAAAATGGAACACAAAGCAGAAGGATGTAGAATGTGTGTCCTTTTTTCATTTATTCATATATTTGAAGAACTGCATTGCAAAAACCAGAAAGCTACGGAAACTAAAGAAAAGCTGTGCTTTTAATTCACGTATTGGGTTGGGAAGTATTGTTCATGCCTCCATATGCAGTCAGTGATATTATCCTTCATCCAAGCATTCTTTTTCTTGTTTCTAAGAAAAAAGCCCTCCCTGCCCCACCTATCAGTGAAGTTCATTGTTTCATGCATTATGATATGAAAATATAAATTCAAAAATACAATGCAGAATGCAATTCAATGCACAAAACCTTTGAATTTAGGGGAGCACAGGCTCTGGTGCATGGTAGAAAGAAATGGATTGCAATGGTTTCCTCCTGCCACCTTGACAGTTCCTCTCTGTTCTTTTCTCTACCTTGGATCACTTTTCCTGTGGTTGTTCTCAGAGATGTACCAGTCAAAGGGTGGGGAGGATATTCACAGCTGAGTCCCAGCTATGTGGTCACAGCATTTGTCTGATCTTGTAGTCGATTCCAACCAGCATTTCCTAAATGGTTCTGTTCTAACCTAATTATTATATTAAACTTTTTTGGAAGTACTGTGATAGAAGAGGGTTTCTGTGAATAAAGAAACTGAAATTCTTTGCAACAGCCTGTTCAGGTCACAGAGAGAGCTGCTGTGATGAGGAAGCCATATGGCCAGTATATGAGAGACATCTTTCTCCATATATCACTATGAAACATGTTGGGTTTCTTCTTTTGTAAGGTGATACTATGCCAAATAAATCATGTCTTTTAAATGTAAATCAGGAAGTATTAAAGAAAACAGAAGACTCATCATCATCATCACACCACACCACACCACAATACACTTCTCTACCATCTGTAGCCAAAGCTTTCTAGATGCTTCACAAATTTAAGTCATCTATCCAGATTTCAACTAAGCCAGACCCTGCATATTTTCCAAGACTAGGTTGGATCAGGCCCTTGCAAAAGTATTCTGTTTATTTGTTTTTGATGCTGGTCTATATAAACTACATCACAAAGAGGTAACTCCACCCATGTATTAATGCCATGTTGAAGACTGAATTTATTTATATAGATGTTTCTGGGAAAGGAATGTCATGCCACTAGATAGACAGATAGATAAATGTAAAATTAGGGGCAGGAGAATGGGCGTACATCCATATATGCCCGCCCGCCTGCCCCTTGAGATCTGCGGGAGAGGCCCTTCTCCGGGAACCCTCCGTGAAAGAAATTAGGAGGGTAGGTACTCAGAGGAGGGCTTTCTCTGCAGTGGTGCCCAATTTATGGAATGTGCTCCCCAGAGAGGTCCGCCTGGCGCCGTCGTTATTTGTTTTTCAGCGCCAGGCGAAGACCTTTTTATTTAAGCGTCATTTTAATTGTTAATATTATTTGCTTATTTTATCTGGCCAGGGCGACTTATTTCATATTGTTATTTCTTTTATTTTAATTTTATGTTGTGAGCCACCCCGAGGCTTTGGCGAATGGGGCGGCATAGAAATGTTTTAATATACAAACGAACAAACAAACAAATAAATAAAAATGGCAGGGTTTCCCCTAGAAAGCAGGGTGGGGGAGGGAGACAAATTACAATAATGAAATCAAGAAAACAGTCCATGCATAAGTGTGCAATACAAACACATAGCTAAAGAAATGAATGAATGTGGATAGAATTGGCACTGGCTCTCCAGATAGGAATGTTTCTACCTTATCTAGAGACACCATTAATTGAAACTGGGATTTCTACATGCAGAATGTATGCACTACCACTGAGCTCTTCAGCTAGTGCAATTCCCTTGCAACAGACTCATTGGAAGGAATTTAATCTGTGCATATTTGGCATACATGTTTGTGTCCCCTATATATATTTGTTAGTTCATAAGTATAGAATGTGTACATGCCCAAGATAGGATGGATCATCTAAGTTTTGTTGACAGTAAAGCCTACTGCAGATAAAACAAACCCAGGACACTCCACAGATGAACTATTTGAAAAAGAAAAAGAAAACAGAACAAAGTAAGCCACAATAAGTCAAGCTGAGTTCTGAGGTCAGGACAGCCAACAATGACCATTGCCTTGTCCAAACAAAGTCAATGTGCCAGTTTGGATGTCATGGAAATTCTGGGAATAACCAATGAATGGTTTATTGTTTGCAGAACAGCTCAGGGAGCGCCCAATAGTTGATTGGGCTCATCATGGACTGTTGATCTGCCTTCCTCCTCAGTCCTCCATTTGCTGCCTCAGGGGACTTGGTTCTTAAAGTGAGATTATTCTCTCTTCTGATAGAACCTGTGATATCTTTTTCACTTGCTATGGGTTTCCTCCTCTTCTACCATTTATATTTATATTTATAATCTCTGGTCTAAAAGATCTTGAGGGGGTGATCTACTGGCATTTTGTTAACTTCCGGTTTTGCTTTGCCTTGAAAGGTCACATTTTCACTGTGAAAAGCAACACAATTAAAAATGAAGCTATTTGTGGTCTCTCTGGGTCAAAGCACCATTTCTGGGACTTCTGTGCTTTGACACAAGATAACTCCCAGGACATTTTCCAGATCATCCTTCCCAATTTGGACTTTTTTTAATAGGCAAAAAACTTCACAAATATCTTATGCTTAGAAAATAGTTTAAAAGTGTTTATGTGTGTGTGTGTTTTTTTGTGGTGGGGAGAACAAAGAAAGCTCTTCCAGTATGGTGCATGAACACTGTCACTGACTATCATCTTGGAGGATGCAGAAATTATCTCCAGAAAAAGCAGGGAAGAGAAAACACTGCCTGAGCACAAATAGAATTAAGTAAAATAAAGTTTTTGATTACGCTTGGCAACACTGAGCCAATACAAGTACTCAAGTGTGCTGGTTGGACAATAGAGGGGTAGTGTCACTGATGGTGGCCCCTGATCTCAGGAAGAGAGGCAAGGGTTTTTACTACTTTTCCCACTAGGGATGATCATATGGGTACAGATGACCTGGCATCCCACAGTGGAGTCAGCGTCCCCTGAAACAACCCTCAAAATATTTTATAGAAATAAGCACAAAAGTCTAAGCATATATGATGCAACAACGCACAATGGCCTGTCATCCACGATGGGTTGATATTTTGGAAAAAAGTATATACTATGTGGTACTGTTTTGTTTGGAACTCCATTGTTATTCATTGATTGATTATAAGAACAGATATGATTGGCAATCTCTTGGGGAAAACAATCAAAGGATGCTCATTTTGTTAGCCATAGGCTCAATGATTTTGACTGGCCACCATTTCAAGCATTCTATGTCATGTAACATATTTTCTTAAATAATACTTTGAAGCTTAAAAAAATTTGGACAGAGGAATGGAGATTGACATCTGTCCATATTAAAGCCAATCCAAGCCACATTCGAAGCCTCTTACATAAGCCAAAGCAGAAGTTGGGATCATGCCAATACATGCCA